GATGGCTTGCTCAAACGAGTCCTGGAAAATGATGACGGTTCAGAGAAGAGAAGACAGTTGGTGATTCCAAAGAGCAGAATAGCCGAAGTACTTCGTCAGTTACACGACAGTCCATCAGGAGGGCATTTTGGTGTGAAGAAGACCCTTCAGCGAATTCGGGAACGGTTTTATTGGATGAACAGTTCCGACGATGTAAAAGACTGGTGTAAGAAATGTACTATTTGTGCTACGAGTAACGGGCCTTATCGAAAAAGGAGAGCTCCTATGAGACAATATAATGTTGGAAGCCCGTTTGAAAGAATAGCTTTGGACATTGCTGGGCCGTTTCCAGAAAGTGATAATGGAGGCAAGTACATGTTGGTAGTAATGGATTACTTCACTAAGTTAGTCGAGATTTACGCACTTCCAGACCAGAAGGCGGCCACCGTTGCAGATAAGTTGATCCAAGAATATATCAGCCGATTTGGAGTGCCTTTGGAGATCCATAGTGACCAAGGCAGGAATTTCGAAAGCGATTTATTCCAAGGAATATGTGATAGACTAGGTATGAAGAAAACAAGAACTACGGCTTATCATCCGCAATCGGATGGTATGGTAGAACGAATGAATAGAACAGTTGGCAAGTATTTGACAAAGTTGGTGTCCGATCATCAGCGAGACTGGGACCAATATCTCCCGTTCTTCACAATGGCCTACAGATCTGCTGTTAATGAATCAACAGGCCAGACACCAGCCAGAGTCCTATTCGGACGCGAGATGCGACTACCTTGTGATCTAGAGTTTGGGTGTCGACCTGGAAAAGATGTAGCAGGTGAAGATTATGTGATCGAATTGCGAAGAAGAATGGACGATGTACACGAGTTGGTCCGTTCCCATCTCCAGATCGCTAGTGACCGAATGAAGAAACGGTACGATACGCAAGCCGAAAAGGGGTGTTTTAAGAAGAACGACAAAGTCTGGCTTTATAATCCCAAAAAGCGAAAAGGTTGTTCCCCCAAGTTGCAGCAGTTTTGGGAAGGTCCATACCTCATTATGGAAAAGATCAATGATGTCATTTATCGAATAAGCAAGATTCCGAGGGGAAAGCCGATGATAGTACACCATAACCGGCTGGCGTCTTTCGAAGGCGACCACGACGTAGATGAAGAAGTGGAAATAAACCAAGTCCAAGATGTGTCTGACCTCACGTTTGAGGAATTCATGGGTGCCTATGGAGGTACCGGTAAAGCAAGACATGGTGTTACCACTGAAGAAAGGCAAGATCTACTCGCGCTTCCCGATGACTACTTACTGGCCCTTACCATCCCGGCCAGTATCAAAGATGCACCAGGGTTGGCATCCGTCTTTCGAAGGAAGTTTGGTCGAGTTGCAGAACTTCAATGCCAAGTGCCAGCTCCTGGTAAAACCTTGAAACTTCAAGATGCATCACGTTACCTTTTCTACCTGGTAACAAAAGACACTGCCCGTGACCAACCTACCTACCGAGATGTATGGGAAGCCTTACTTCAGTTGAGAGAGCACGTACTGGAGTCAGACGTGCAAAAGTTAGCCATGCCAAAGTTGGAGTGCCGCCAATTAGATTGGAGGGTTATACGAAACATGGTGGAGGAAATCTTTAAAGACACCGAAGTCCAGGTGTTAGTCTGTTGCAATCCGCATAGTTACTGGTGCGGAGAGAAAACCGTCCCTTGTCATTTCTATACAACTGGAAGTTGTAAAAGAGGGTCCAGTTGCCGATATCAGCATGTCGTTCCAGTTCCAGTCCCGACAAGGTTCCAGGAGGAACCATCTTTTAAGAGGGGGGCAATGTTACGATTTTAAATGTTATGGCATATAGAACTGTAAATATTTTATGACTAATCCTTTTTTATTGATTCTCGTAATTTGTAGGTCAAAATCTACCTGAGCTTCGATACCAGTTGTTTACAGAAATCTCTAGACCCTAATTTTAGTGAGTCATCCACGTCTCGAGGTTGAAAAACGAGTCGAGCTCCTTCACCAAAATACGAGATTATTCCATTATAATGTAGAAGGCCGCCGAATTTTCGAGATGACAACAGTTGTGTATATAAACAACACATTTTTATTTTGTGAACTTAGTCATAAGAAGCTCGGGAAACGCGGTTTAAATGTAACGAAACGAAAATAAATTATTTGTAATTAGGATTTATAAAGACTTTAATAAATTCGTAATTAGTGATCGTGAGTTTTAATAAATTAGAATATAGACAATAAATTAGAATAAAGACAAATAAATTAGAACTAGATATTACAAAAGAAACGTTAGAAGAATGATATTTTTTCATAAATTATTAAGGTTGGTTGTTATTAAGGTGAAATTAGCTATTTTCAATATTTATAAATTGTGTTCAATATACATGTAATATTGTCAACCTTAATAACAATCAACCTTAATAATTCATGAAAAAATATCATTCTTCTAACGTCTCTTTTATGGTTATTATTATTTTTACACTTAGTCATTTTAATTTTGTAATCAAATTACTGTAACTTACGTGCTTAAGACAATTTAATTATGACATTTATTACATACTTCAATGTCAATGTTTATTTTTGAAATCTTTTAATTTCTGTAAGTTTTTGAAATTTATTTGTACGCCATTTTTGTAATGTTAAAATTGTTTTACAGTGTACTCCTGATGAAGCTATCAAATTAATAGCGAAATATTGAGTTCGTTAGAAAAAACAAAGATATGATGATGACACAGTTTTGCTTGCAAACGGATATAGATGATTTACTAATACTTCATCAGCGGTAACAGATCATAGCAAACAAACGGGTCAGAAAGGTAATACAAAGAAAATCAACTGGATAGTCATCTACAAAAAAATATAGCCAACAGTCTCACTGATATCGTGATAGGTGAAGAAATAGTAGAACGGTGGATAGAGATCGGTCTTTTGAGCGAATAAAAAGTGGTACTTACCTCAAAAAATTAAACGCATAATAGAGTAAGCCAGAACAACATTTTAAAAAATTCAAAAGGTAAAAACCAAAAGGCCGCTAAGAATTACTTTAAGAATACGGTGTATTATTTTGTTGTCTTTAGCAAAATCGATTTTATGTCGATTAAAATAATATTAACATAGTGAGAAATCTCTATTGAAACCAACAGGCTGTGATAACATTAGAACTAGAGTAACAGTAATAAATAGATAAGTAGATGAGTGAGACAATACTGTACTTCCATCATTACTATTAGATATACTCAAAAGGGTTATTTACACAAGCACTTAAAAGCTGTACAGAAGAGATTGAGATAAATTGAGGAAATATAAATAAATTCGATATGCCTACGATACAGTCATTATCGATACAAGTTGGTAAGACCTGCAGAGGCTAGTTTTGGGAAACAGTTTGGTTTAACAATAAACATCATCATCATCATCAATTAGCCTCCCGTAAAACCATAAACATAATGAAAATAAAAACCATGGTTATCAGTAAGAGGGACAAACTGATAACAAGGATCCCGATAAAAAATTAAGATATTCTACAAGTGGACAAAATGAAATACTTAGGAGTCTGGATTACCAAAGATCTAAATCCAAAATCAGAAATTCGACAAAGAATAGAGAAACCAAGAGCAGTCTTTTTGAAGGAGAGGAAATTTCTGAGTAACCAAAGATTTAATCTGCAAATCCGATGTCAGATGATAATATGATATATCCCACTCTATTTTTCTTTATGGTGCCGAAGCTTGGACTGTTAATTTTGACTTAATGAGAAAGCTAGAAGCTTTTAAGATGTGGCTTTTTTATTAGACTTTGAAAAATATCATGGACCGATTATGTTACGATCAAAATGGTGTTGTACAGAATGGGAAAAGCCAAAAAGCTTTTGACCACCATTAAATGGAGAAAAACTTAGTGTACATACTTAGGAAGCATAAATTAATACTAGTTGTTGCAGCTGAGTATAAAGCGTAAAATTGAAGGTACAAGGCGACTTGGTAGACGACAAATGTCCTGGCTGCAAGAACATTCGCGACTGGACCGGGTTAAACACATACATAGACATTTTTAAGAGAAGCAGAAGATAGAGATGAATTTGCAATAGTTATAGCTAGCCTACATTAATAAAATCGACATTAGAAGAAGATGAAGAAGATATTTTTGACACTCTGCTATATGAAATGGAAGCATGTTGAATAGGGTAACGAATGAAGCCGTTTTACAGCGTCTAAATAAAGAAAAGGAGGTTCTGAATACTACAAAAAGAAGAAAATTGGAGTAGTTTGCTCCCGTGATGAGAAATTGTAATATAAATTACAACAACTAACTATTCAGGGAACGTAATCCTGAACAACGAACAACATCCTAACTCAAAAACCTTTGCAAGTGGTATGAAGTTAGCACCACTTTAAGAAGAAAAATATTTTCTACTTTTGCAGCTAATTTTGCATCACAATTTGTCACAAATACCCCAAGACTACTTTATGGTATAAATAAGAATGCTAATAATTGAGATCAGAATATACGAGCTTTTATAATTAATCGAGGGGCAATAATACGATGGTCACGGGACATACTTGTCAACCAAGTACATTATATGATATCCTAAAATTTATTAATTAAACGTAAGGATTTGTACCAACAACTAAAAACCTAATAATATAACTGTTGAAGGAAGATAGCTACCTATCTAATAGTAAAATTTAATGAAAATAAACAAGACAAAACAAATATAAACAAGAGTATTCCCCAAGAAAATATTGGTTTCGTATAGTATTTAATTACGTTACGTTCAACATTGATCATTGAAAGCACGTATGCCAGTGTCTTTTTGCATATTTGCTTTAACGCGTATGTGTATATATTTAATTTTCTTGGAAAATCATGACTGGAAAATTTAACCTTACTTAGTTGGGTTTGGAATATTACAATCCAATAAAGCAAAACTTGATACATAACTTCATAACAGAATACTACTCAAATTTGTTAATAAGTATTAAAACATTAATTATTAAACTATTTACAGCTTTAAAAACCATTGGCATTTTAGACACATTCTATTTTTATCATCCACACAATAAAATGCGAGAAGCACTTCGCAGCATAGTTTATTTTCATTGCACTAAAGATTTTATATGTTATTTTGATTATACTCGATTTTTAAATTAATTAAGTGACTAAAATACTTTCAGCGCTTTTAAACCCCGACAACCGATTTTAAACTGAAGCTAAAATTGTCAGTTTGTGTTGAACTGATTTAGGTCGCTAAGTGACACAGGCGGAGAGGAACGTATACATATATAAATAACTCACAAAACATAACAAGCATATCTGGAAAAGACTGTTAGTGAAACGTTGATCCCGAACAAAGTTGCAAAGTTGTCTACGAACTTGTTCCTGGTTATCTATTTTTTGTTTTATTAAGCAACATTGTATCTTTTTATTTAAACGCAGTCTTTATTACAAATTTTGTTATGTATATTTTAATAACGTTACTTTAATTAGATGGTTATCGATGGTGTTAAACACCATATTTATTAGTTAATTTGAAAAATGCTACTTTTCAAATTTAAAATCCGCGTAACTGTATTAGTATTATGCGAGTACTAAAACGCATATAAGATGGAAAGTTCTTTACATCTGTTGTAAAAACAACATTTTATATTAATTTTAGTATAATTTTTAGTTCTCACAAATATTAGTTTGGATTTTATGTTAAAGACTGTACTTTTTGCCTGCAAGCTATTTGTGCCATAAATAGCTTATAAGGGTTGTTTAAAGTGGTAAAACCGACCTTGTCGGAAATTTTAGGTAAAGATTAAATTCAAAATCTCTCGCAGATGTGACTAGAGTCTCAAACTGTGCGGTACCGCCGGTACCTAAGCTCTCTCTTCGCCGCCAAAATGCAGTGAAATGTGTATTTGTTTTCGCGATTGTTCGCGCGCCCCTAAAACGCCGGTATAGCAATGGACAATGTATAAAAAGCGAACTCTTTCGTTAGTATTAGTGTTTGTGTAAATATTCTCTTGTTATTAAATGTGTAGATTCAATTAATTACGCTTATTCTTTCTCTAAGTACAACCCCTATTAAATCAAACACATAAAGAACCAGCGCCGTGAAGTTCTGCTTGTATATATCGAAGGAAAAACTCTTGTACAGTCCATGGTCCTAAAATATTTGGAACTGTACACGCACGGGGCAAGGAATTTAATAAGCTTTCCCCCCAACAATTGGTGGAAATCGGAGAAAACTCCATCATTGTTTGTGGTCCTTACTCGACGGATTTGTGTTTGATGTTGGCATTTGTACTAACTAGTTTCGGATATTTAGATGAATTTATTTAAAAGACTCTCGAAAAGACTAAGGTGTCGCGATAAACTCTTAAACAAAAGGACAGTAGTGAAGTTTATATAGTGTTTGTGCCTGTTCCTGCAAACCACTGGACAAATTGGGTGAGATTTTTCCATATTATAACTTCGCTTATGCACAGGGTAAATCGCTTTTCAAAAAGACTATCTCTTTAAAAATTTATCTGTAGACATTTGTAGACATTTACCGGGTGTGCAAAAAATTTAATTGCAAAAGTAAACTCTCATGTGTGATTTAAGACTTTTACTGCGTTTTAATAAACTATAAACTTTCTCGTCGTGTGCTATATGTGTTCATATATAAGATAAACATTACTCACTCTATTCTCGCTGTGTGATACACGTAGTATTATATAATAGAAACAATAATTTCTCTAAAGAACTCGGTGTTTGCACGACCTTAGACAGTTATTTTTAGAGTACCACTTTTTGTTAAAATCGAAATGGAAGATCTTAAGAAGAAGAGGAAGCCGCTGAAGGCCAAGATTACTAGAATAGTAAACTGGCTGCTAGAAAACGCAGATGCAGAAACTGACGGGCTCCAGTTTCAACTCAGACACACCGAATTGAAATCATGTTATCTGAAGTATGAAGAGGTGATGGATCAGATTGAAGAAATCGATGAAACCGATTCTGAAACAGAAGACAGGGCACTCATGGAGAAAAAATACTTTTCTACACTAGCTGGACTGCAGCATAAGATGGAAGCATTAAAGTTACCCTCCCACTCGCTCAGCTCAAACGATACTCCGTCAACTGTAGCCACTGCTAAGGTTAGGTTGCCGGAAATTACAATGCAGGTATTCTCTGGAAACTTCGCCGAATGGAACGCGTTTTATCAGCTATTTGAAACGCTGATAATCAATAATGTGGAGCTGAACAATGTGCAAAAATTTATATATCTTAAATCCTTCTTAAAAAACGAACCCTTGCATTTAATTGAAAACATTGAAGTTGTAGAAGAAAATTTCCGAATCGCTTTGGACACGCTCAAAGATCGATACGAAAATAAATCGCGTGTAATTAGTTTACATATTCAAACATTGTTAAAGGCTCCATCTTTAGCTAAAAGTAACTCAAAATCATTACGAGAATTTTTAACTCTTTGCAAACAGACTTTACTCGCACTCAAGAATATGTCAGTACCAATCGAACATTGGGATTTATTGTTAATCGAAGTATTTTTACAAAAATTAGATTTCGCTACTCACCGGTCATTTGAATATGAAATAGGTTCAAAGGCTTTACCTACTCTCTCACAGTTTTTTTGTTTTCTTGAAAAAAAGTGTGATATCCAAGAAAAATTAAACGTTTCTGATAATGATAGAAAATTTACTAAGCCTCAGTTAAAAACATCTTTGTTTTCATCAGTTAACTCACAAAAAAACTCTCTTTCAGTTACTAGTTGTATATGTTGCAAAAGTAATTCGCATAAAATTTATCAATGTAATGATTTTAAATGTCTCTCTTTACAGGAAAGATTTAATTTTGTAAAAGGTAAGAAACTTTGTTGGAATTGTTTGGGTAATAAACATTTTTCTCAAGATTGCAACTCTGCACGCTCATGTAGTATATGTAAGAAAAGACATCACTCGCTCTTGCATAGTACCCCTGAAAATGTCTCTTCTTCTAGGAACACGAATAAGCAATCTTTCCCGATTGATCGCAACGCTCAAGCTCCCAAACATTCTCAAGGTTCTTCCAGTCGTGTCGCTCACATACCTACTCCGCCTTCTACCAGTTCGTTCAAACCTCCTTTAGAAGTACAAAATACTGCAGATTCTCACACAGCCACTTCTCTCTCTGCTTTATCAGTTAAAACTGATGTATTGTTGGCTACCGCTTTAGTGACAGTGTATTCTAAAGATGGCAGGCCTATGCATGCCAGAGCGCTCTTAGATAATGGGAGTCAACATTCATTTATTTCTCGTGATTTGGTTGAGAAGTTAAACCTCACCCCTTATTTTAAACAATTACAGATATCAACCATATCCGAAAACACCTCATTGTCAAATCAAATGATTAACATAGAATTTTTTCCCTATAATGTGAAGGATAGAAGTTTCAAAACCTCTTTTGCCGTACTTGATAGTATAACTTGCAGACTTCCTAAAGCTACCCTAAATAGAAGCAAAATAAATGTTCCCCCTAATCTCACTCTCGCAGATCCCTCGTACTCTGTTCCCGGTAAAATTGATTTGCTTCTAGCTGGTGACATCTACAGCGAATTATTGACTGATGGATTCATACGTTTAGGAAAGAATCTTCCCATTCTTCAGAATACCCACTTGGGTTATGTTATTTTTGGTACTCTTCCCCCTCATGTCTTTCATCGTAGTTCAAATTTGGCTATTTCTCAGTCAAATGTTTCTCTCCTTGTTCAGTCCGAATCCGAAGAGAATAATTTAGATAAATTAATTCAACAATTCTTCGAGATTGAAGAAGTTCCGCACGTTAGTAAATTAACCCCCGATGAGAAATTGGCTGAACAAATATTTAATAAAACCACTCGTATTTTACCTTCGGGTCGTTTTCAAGTAAATCTTCCACTTGTCTCCGAAAATGCGCATAAAAGATTAGGCGAATCTTTTAAAACAGCTCTAAAGAGATTTATTAATTTAGAAAATAGGCTCTTAAAAAATGAAAATACATACGCTCAATATAAGTCTTTCATTAGTGAATATCTTCTTCTCGAACATGCTAGAATAGTCCCTCTCTCTCTTACTAATGGAAACTTAGAAAATAAATATTTTCTCCCGCATCACTGTGTATTAAAGGAAGAATCCTTAACAACCAAACTTAGGGTTGTTTTCGACGGTTCGATGAAAAGTTCTAGTGGTTATTCGCTAAATGATATCCTCCTCAAAGGTCCTACTCTTCAACCGGAACTTTTTGACATTTTGCTACGCTTTCGATTATATTCCTTTGTTTTCACAACGGATATACAAAAGATGTACAGACAGGTTAAAATCAATCCTGATCAAACCTTTATGTTAAACATACTTTGGCGTGACTCCCCGGAAAAAGATATTGAGTGCCTGGAACTGCAAACAGTTACATATGGAACTAAAAGCGCCAGTTTTCAGAGTACTCGCTGTTTAATGGAACTGGCAAATACTCATCAAACTGAGTATCCCCTGGCCAGTGACGCTCTTAAAAATAGTTGCTATATCGATGACATTCTCTATGGTGCTAATGATGAGCAAACTCTTCTCAAAGCTCATAAGGAAATAACTAGTTTGCTTGGAACAGCATGTATTTCTCTACATAAATGGTGTTCTAACTCGGACTTGTTTCTAAAAAATATTTCTTCTCTTTCTTCGAACTCTTCTTATGTCATAGCTCCAGATAATTGCTCTAACAAGGTTTTAGGTTTATGCTGGAATCCTGTTCTTGACACGTTTTCAATCTCTCTTCCAGATTTCACCCTAAAGAACTCATATACTAAAAGAGAAGTACTGTCAATGATTGCCCAAATATTTGATCCTCAAGGTCTTATTAATCCCGTTACAGTTGTCGCTAAACTTATAATGCAAAAAATCTGGATATCCAAAATCATTTTTAACGATACCATTGACGCAGATACGTTACATGAATGGCTAAGTTTTATTAGCAGTCTCTCTCATTTTAAGGACTTAAGTATACCAAGATGTCTCTTTTTAAGTCAAGAAATCACTGGTGTTGAGGTTCACTCATTCTCAGATGCAAGTTTAAAGGCTTATGGAGCTTGTATCTACTTACGTGTGACCTATAAATCAGAACAGGTGTCTTGTTCCCTTCTAGCATCTAAGAGTCGCGTTGCTCCGCTAAAACCATTGACCCTTCCAAGATTGGAACTCATGGGTGCGCTATTGTGTAGTAAACTCACAGCAAGGATTGCTAACATCGTTAAAAGGAAATTATCTCGATTAGACTCTATAAATATG